ACCCCTTGCCTCTCCGTGCCCACCCGCCACCCCTCGCCTCTCCGTGCTCACCCGCCAACCCTCGCCTCTCCGTGCCCACCCGCCACCCCTCGCCTCTCTGTGCTCACTCACCAACCCTTGCCTCTGCCCTCAGGACTCTCCAGTTTGGCCACATGTCTGTCACAGTGGAGAGACAGATGATCCAGGAAACCAAGGGTGACACGGTGGCCCCTGGGGCAGAGGGGCTGCTCAACCTGCGGCCAGACGACTTTGTCTTCTACGTCGGGGGTTACCCCAGTACCTTCACGGTGAGCCTGCCTGGCTGGGGGAGTCACTTGTGTCCTGCAGAGCCGTGGGTTCTCTTGGTATCTCGCCTCAGTCCGTCCTGCTGTAGTCTGAAGTCCCCTTGGTCCATCCTGGAGGGGAGATGCCTCAGGCCAGGTGCCCTGACCCAGCCTTGTGCCCACAGCCCCCTCCCCTGCTTCGCTTCCCTGGCTACCGGGGCTGCATCGAGATGGACACGCTGAATGAGGAGGTGGTCAGCCTCTACAACTTCGAGAGGACCTTCCAGCTGGACACGGCTGTGGACAGGCCTTGTGCCCGGTGCGTGTGGCCTGCCCTCCCCGTCTCCACCCACCCCACCCTCCGCTGACCCCAGAACCTCTGACCTGCAGCTCCAAGTCGACCGGGGACCCGTGGCTCACAGACGGCTCCTACCTAGATGGCACCGGTTTTGCCCGCATCAGCTTCGATGGTCAGATCAGCACCACCAAGCGCTTTGAACAGGAGCTGCGACTCGTATCCTACAGTGGGGTCCTCTTCTTCCTGAAGCAGCAGGTATGCCAGGCACACCTGTCCCACTGTCCCCACTTGCACCGATCCTGCCCCACACTAACCCTGCCCTGTTTCTGCAGAGCCAGTTCCTGTGCTTGGCCGTGCGAGAAGGCAGCCTCGTGCTGCTGTATGACTTTGGCGCTGGCCTGAGAGAGGCTGTCCCGCTGCAGACCCCACCGCCCCTGACCTCGGCCAGCAAGGCGGTAGGGCCAGGGTGGGGCCAGGGTGGCAGGGAGAGGAGGTGGGACGATGGGGGCGGGGCAGGCCACAGGGACACAGCTGGCCCTGGAGCCCGCACTGGTCCTGCAGATCCAGGTGTTCCTGCTGGGGGGCAGCCGCAAGCGTGTGCTGGTGCGTGTGGAGCGGGCCACGGTGTTCAGCGTGGAGCAGGACAATGCTCTGGAACTGGCCGACGCCTACTACCTGGGGGGCGTGCCGCCCGACCAGCTGCCCCCGAGGTGAGCACTCTGCAGCTGGGGCTCCGAGGCCAGGCTGTCGGGGTGGGAGGCTGGGCTTAGAGGCGGCGCCCTGACCCACATCCCTGTGTCCCCGTGTCCCCGTGTCCCCGCATCCCCGCATCCCCACAGCCTGCGACGGCTCTTCCCCATGGGAGGCTCAGTCCGTGGCTGCGTCAAAGGGATCAAGGCCCTGGGCAAGTATGTGGACCTCAAGCGGCTGAACACGACAGGCGTGAGCGCCGGCTGCACCGCTGACCTGCTGGTGAGCAGCCCTTCCCGGGCTGGGGGTGGCATCTGTGGACATGCAGGGGTACCTGCGGGCACTCAGGGACGGCCTCCCCGCAGGTGGGGCGCGCCATGACTTTCCACGGCCACGGCTTCCTTCACCTGGCGCTCTCGAATGTGGCGCCCCTCACTGGCGACGTCTACTCCGGCTTTGGCTTCCACAGTGCCCAGGACAGTGCCCTGCTCTACTACCGGGCATCCCCGGTGAGACCTCACACCCGTGCCCACTCCCCAACCCACAGCGACCGTCGGGGCAGTCGGGACTGGGGTGACTGGAATGAGTCTGGGTCCCCAGACTGGCCAGCTGACCTGGCTGCTGTCCCCAGGATGGGCCATGCCAGGTGTCCCTGCGGCAGGGCCGTGTGACCCTACAGCTCCTGAGAACTGAAGTGATAGCTGAGGGGGGCTTCGCCGATGGCGCCCCCCATTACGTCGCCTTCTACAGCAATGCCACAGGGTGAGCCTGGCCGCTGGGCCCTCATATGAAGGTCTGGAGGGACACCCGCCTGCACTTGCCCGGACCTCTGTCTCCTCTGAGGTGGGGGTGGGCAGGGTACGGAAGAACCGAGCCTCCGGCCTCCCGCCCGCCAGGGTCTGGCTCTATGTCGACGACCAGCTCCAGCAGATGAAGCCCCACCGGGGACCACCCCCAGAGCCCCAGCCACAGCCTGAGGGGCCCCCGAGTCTCCTCCTGGGAGGCCTGCCTGAGCCTGACACCTTTCACTTCAGTGGCTGCATAAGCAACATCTTCGTGCGGCGGTGAGCCCGGTGGGCACTGGGGGGCAAGGCCCCAGCTGGCCTTCTGCAGTGTTGACCGCCTGTCCGCCCTGCACAGGCTCCTGGGCCCACAGCGCGTATTCGACCTGCAGCAGAACCTGGGCAGCGTGAACGTGAGCACGGGCTGTGCACCCACCCTACAAGCCCAGATCCTGGACCTGGGGCCTAGAGGACTGTGGACCGCCGCCCGGAAGGTGGGCGCCCCAGGGGTGAGCGGGCAGAGCTGGTGTGGCCGGGAGGGCGGCCCCCGTGCGGGCAGCCCCTGCATTCACCATCCATGCCTCCAGGCTTCCCGCCGCAGTCGTCAGCCCACCCAGGATCCCGCCTGCATGCTGCCCCCACACCTCAGGACCACCCGAGACACCTACCAGTTTGGGGGTTCCCTGTCCAGTCACCTGGAGTTTGTGGGCATCCTGGCCCCACATAGAAACTGGTAAGGCCAGATACAGCTGGGGTGGGCTGAGGGGGGCCGCGCAGGCTGACGCCAGCTCCGCTTCCAGGCCCAGCCTCTCCATGCGCGTCCTCCCGCGAAGCCCCCGAGGCCTCCTGCTCTTCGCTGCGAGCCTGAGGCCCAGCAGCCCCTCCCTGGCACTCTTCCTGAGCAATGGACACTTCGTCGCACAGATGGAAGGCCTTGGGACTCGGCTCCGCGCCCAGAGCCGCCAGCGCTCCTGGCCTGGCCACTGGCACAAGGTATGGGCCAAGAAGAAGGAAGGTGGGCAGGGCCTGGCGGCCCTACCCTGACCCGCCTCCTGCCCCCAGGTCTCCGTGCGCTGGGAGAAGAACCGGATCCTGCTGGTGACGGACGGGGCCCGGGCCTGGAGCCAGGAGGGGCCACGCTGGCAGCACCAGGGGGCAGAGCACCCCCAGCCCCACACCCTCTTTGTGGGGGGCCTCCCGGCCAGCAACCACAGCTCCAAACTTCCGGTGAGAACCATCTTGCCCCGGCCCTCACTCCCCACCCACTGTTCACCCCTTTCAGCTGCCCTGGGCCCTGATCCCTGCCCCATCTGCTCCCTATAGGTGACCGTCGGGTTCAGCGGCTGTGTGAAGAGACTGAGGCTGCACGGGAGGCCCCTGGGGGCCCCCACACGGATGGCAGGGGTCACACCCTGCATCTCGGGCCCCCTGGAGGCGGGCCTGTTCTTCTCAGGCAGCGGGGGAGTTATCACTTTAGGTCTGTGGGTGCTGGCATCCCAGGCCCCAGCAGGGCAGGGCAGCGGGCTCCGGGAGGTTCTGGGGAGGGGCCCCCCCTTCCTTCTCTATCACAACCTCTCCCTGCAGACCTCCCAGGAGCTACACTGCCTGACGTGGGCCTGGAACTGGAGGTGCGGCCCCTGGCAGTCACCGGCCTGATCTTCCACTTGGGCCAGGCCCGGACACCCCCCTATTTGCAGCTGCAGTTGACTGAGAAGCAAGTAAGCCTGGCAGGGGTGGCACACCAGGGCTGGGTTTGCCTCTCCATTCTGGTGCCCTTGGGGGCATGCCCTGACCCTCCCTTCCTACCCCGCCAGGTCCTGCTGCGGGCGGACGATGGAGCAGGGGAGTTCTCCACATCAGTGACCCGCCCCTCAGTGCTGTGTGACGGCCAGTGGCACCGGCTGGCAGGTGAGGCCCCTCCTGTGGCCAGGGCACTCTGCCACTCCCACCCCCACCCTTCTGCAGAGAGGGAGTCAAGCGGGACTCTGGGTGGGGCAGCTTCTTTCAGGGCTGGAGAGCGGCCTGGCTGGGGACTACCTGGCCTCAGGAGTCCACCTTCTCCCACAGTGATGAAAGGCGGGAACGTGCTCCGGCTAGAGGTGGACGCACAGAGCAACCACACCGTGGGCCCCTCGCTGGCGGCTGCGGCTGTTGCCCCAGCCCCTCTGCACCTCGGGGGCCTGCCTGGTGAGTGCAGCCTTGATCAAGCCTGGGGAAGCTGCCCCTCAGGACTAGAAGCTGGGTAACCCACCCCCCTCCCACCCTCCTGTGGTGTGGAACAAGACAGAGGCTGGGTGGGGGACATATGTCTGGGAAGGGGCTGTGGGTCCCAAGCTGCCCTCCAACCAGCCTTCCTCCATCTTCCCTGCGCCCCCAGAGCCCACGGCCATGCAGCCCTGGCCCCCCGCCTACCGTGGCTGCATGAGGCGGCTGACAGTGAACCGGGCCCCCGTCACCATAACTCGCTCTGCAGAGGTCCACGGGGCAGTGGGGGCCAGTGGCTGCCCAGCCGCCTAGGGCACTGCCAACCCTGGCCTCTGGTTAGGCCCTTGCAGGTGACTCCTCTCACTGCCCTTTGTGCTCACCTCATAGGTGTTTATTGGGATTCTAGGCTCTATGGGTGACAGATCTTGTTTCCGGAGATGGTTTAAATTATATCTTTTTAAATGAAAGAATAAAATACTGCAAAATGTTTTTATACTTGGCCCTTCCACCTATTTTTAATTGTGAGATTTGTAATCACTGGTTCCTCCTTAAAAATTAAAAAGTAACTTCTGTGTAACTGAATGTTGACTTAAATACGGAGTCTCAAGACAGGTCTGGAACTGGCCTGGACAGAGGCACCAGACTCTTCCTGGGGTGACCATTTTCCGTCGTTAGGTCAAGTAAGTTTCTCTGGGATCCTACAGCAGCTCCTCACTCTAGCATCTGTCCAGCCAAAACTCCTTTGGGCAAAGAAAGGAGGCGTTGGCGGGTAGAAGAAAAGACTTTATTATCAGTGGGTGGGAGGTGAGGCTGTGCAACGCACTGCAAGCGCCGAGGCAGTCCCTCGGAGGGCGGCGCGTGGCTCAGTCCAGGCTCATGTCCTCCTCTTCGTCCTTCTTGTCCTTTGTGTCGCCCTCTTTCTGCTCGGGCTTGGCGTTGTTCTGCATGGCTTTGGCAAACGCTTCCACATCTAGAACACGTTAAAGACACAAGGTGGCGTCTAACCCTTGCCCAGAACTGGGGATCAAAGCGGTGGGATCAAGGGCAGAAGGGCTGTGACCTTCGCCCCCTCAGCCCCACTTCGCAAATCCAGGGGGACAGGAATGGACCCTGCCTCTGGCTCTGGCCCGGAGGTGCAGGCACAGCCACTTACCGCCCTTGTTGGCGGCCTCCACGGCCTCCGCAGGCAGACCGAACTGGCACATGAGGGGGCCCAGCTGCCCCGAGGCCAAGGCTGCGCTGAACATGCCCAGGGCCTGCAAGGAAGAGCCAGGCGAGGGCTGAGCTCCACCCTGGGCTGCGGCCCAGAGCCGCACTGCTGAGCTGCCAGCTCTGGGGGTCGGGCACACGAGGCACGGCCACGGTGAAGGTGGGGCAGGGCCTCTTCCTCCCTCCTGCCCACTCCCTGAGCACACAGCGGAGGGCACCCTGGGCCCGGCCTCTACCTGCTGGAACTGGGGCGAGGTCAGGGTGTTCTGGATCTCCTCCGCGGTCTGCGGCAGTGACTCCCCAGATGGCAAGTAGGGAAGCAGGCGCTCCTGGACGTCCGCGTTGGCGAGGATGGGAGCCATGATCTCTGGCGTCAGCACACTGGCCAGGTCCACTGGGACACAAGAACACGGCCATCAGCTCGATTGCAGCCTAAGTGCCCACATGGAGGGTATGCAAGCAGGGGCTCAGCCCATGGCCCCAGCACCCCAGGCGCGTACAAGAGGCAGACGCCTTGGAAGGTCAGCTTGCCAGGGACAGCAGGCCCCATGCCCCCCAGCTCCGGGCGACAGCACACGTTACCTTGCTGGCCACCCGCTGGCCCAGCCGGTACATTCATCGTGGCCAGGATGCTCTGGAGGTCGCTCAGCTGGATGGGCTGGGTCGGGCTGGCTGCTGTGCTGGCTCCGTTCCCGGAACTGGGCGCAGGGCTCGGGCTAGTTGCTGAGGCAGCTGCTGGAGCAGAAGGGGCTGGGGTGGCACGGGTGGAAGAGGTGGTGGATGACGGGGTGACCGCTGCCGACTGGCTCCGGGAGCTGCGAAGACAGAGGGCACCGCTGGAGCGGACACGCCCCCACACAGCAGGGCCTACTCGCAGGGTCCAAGGTGCCAGGCCAGGATTCCCCGCTGTCCCTCCCATAACACCGTGGCGCCCGCATGGCGGGGCTGGAGCCATGGCGCTCACCTGGAGGAGGAGCTGCTCCCTGGAGGCCCGCTGCTCCCCAGTAAGCTGGCCAGGCCGGGTCCAGTCAGGGCCCCCAGCCCACCTGAGGGGGCAAGGAAATGTGAGCTCTTATGCGCTCTAGCCCACCAGGAAGAGCCTGCCCCTCCCCAGGCCAGAGGAGCAGGAATTCCCAACACCAAAGCCAGGAGCCGCGGGGTGAAGCGGGGCGGTGGGGACCACAGGCCTGGAGGAGCCGCGGGGTGAAGCGGGGCGGTGGGGACCACAGGCCTGGAGGAGCCGCGGGGTGAAGCGGGGCGGTGGGGACCACAGGCCTGGAGGAGCCGCGGGGCGGGGGGCGGGCAGACACGTGCAGCTGTGTTCTGGAAGCAAGGTCACTTCTGTTCCATCCCATGACACAATTCATGTGCTTAGATTAAAAGCAGATTCAGTCCAGATCCCACCCAAAGGGACAAGTATTTCTGAAGGGCCAAGCACACGGCTCTGTACTCCATCAACTAGCAGCAGGCAGGCAGCCATATGGGGCCAAGGGACCCAGGGCAGGAACCCCAGCTCCCTCCAGTCCCCCAGCCCCGCCGCTCAGCCGCCGTCCTCCTCGGAAGTACCCAGCCGGGGTCCTCACCAGGGGCCCAGAAGCCTGCGCCCACCCAGCGCTAGCCACAGGCAAACAAGCGCATTCCCAAAGGGGACCAGCTTGCGGACACACAGGCTCCCCGACACCACGCAGACAGCTAGCAAAAGTTTAAAGGAAACAGACAGGGCCTCAAAGCATTCCCAGCGGAAGCTGCCTGAGCGCCCGGGAGGCGCACGTTACCCAGTCCTCCGAGGCCGGCTGGTCCGATGAGCTGCATGAGCTGACTGTGGCTCATGTTCCCCAGCAGGCTCTGCAGGCCGCCCTCACCTGGAAAACACTGCAGCTCAGGGGGGCCTGCCCCAGCCAGATCCACGCCGGCCCCACAGCACCGCCCCGGCCGGCCCCACAGTGCTGCCTGGGCCTCTGCTGAGCACCCCACTCGGCTGCCTCTGAACTCTACAGGCGGCACCACTTGAAGTGAGGCAACGGTGGGACACAGACCCGTCCTACCCCATGAAGATGGGACTAGGGAGTGACCCAGGGAGCTAACAGGGTGTCTAACTTAGAATCTTCTATTTCCACTTCCAAACAACCTGTGCGGAGGGAGCGAGTCATCCCCAGTAGACTCTGGCCTCCCAGGAAACCCTGAGCTCATGTGACAGAGCTGACAGTTACCGCCTAGTGCAGAGAGCTCGTGGCCGCTACTCCCGCTCGCCCCCAGCGCCCCAGGCATTGGGGGGTTGTTCAGATACTCGTTGACTTTCCGGCAGTGCTCCTCATCCTGGTCTGTCTTGGGTTCCTGCAGAGAAAGGACACGTAAGGGCAGGAGCCGGTGCCAGCTCACTCTGAGGGCCACCACAGCCATCCTGAGCTGGCTTACAGGTGAGGAGGGACCTGAGAGGCACAGGTGCGTGTACCTGGCTACACAGTGCTGAGGAGACAGGACTCAGCCCAGCAGGTGAGGGGACGGCAGTGGTGCCTTCTGAGCACAATGCTCCGCGCCCTGTCCCAGTCTGCCGCAATGCTGGGTGTGCCCTGTCCCCCTCCACCCATTTCACAGAGGGGGAGCCTAGGGCTCCGAAGGCACTTGGCTGCTGCCAAGCCAAGCCAAGTCCTCTCACCCTCTTGCCCTCTGGGGTGTGGTTCTTTATACACCCGTCTCCTTCCTTCAACCAGTGGAAGGCAGCGAACTGGCCCGCTCAGCACACCACAGCCCAGAGCCACGGCAGGCCCTCACAATCGAGCACATGTGTGTGTCCCCACACGTGCACAGACCAGGGTCAGAAGCATCAACCTGCGAGCACACAGAGCTGGGAGCAGAGCACCCACGCACACCTCCAACAGCTATGGAGGCTGCAGGGCGCCAGGGACACTGGGAGTCCCCGCCCTCATGGGCACACCCCGAACGGCAGGGCGCCAGGGACACTGGGAGTCCCTGCCCTCATGGCAAAGCAGGGACAGGGACTTAAAAGTCATCAACAGGAAAATCGGGAAAAAAAGGGGAGAGGGTGGTAACAGTTGGACACTACTTCTTGGCAAAACCGTGGAAAAACACGTTCTACACCAGCAGGTGGCAAACTGTGCTCCCCATCTGTGTTTGCAAATAAAGTTTAATTGGAACTCGGCTATGCCTGTTCATTTCCCAGGCCACGTGCACAGTACCTGCAGAGGTGAGCAGCAACACGGACCATCTGCCCCCCAGAGGCCTCTCAGACAGGGCCACCCTTGCTCTTGAGAGGGCCAAGGTTGGGGGTGGGGACAGCAGCTCCACCTCTGGCAGAGGGCATGGCATTCTCTCTCCACACTGCAAACGCATGCACACGCTTTCTGACCACAGGCCCGCCACCAGTTTTCACCTCCAGATTATACTGGCTTATGGAAAATAATCTGTGTACCAGGCAATTCTTTGCAACACTGCCTGTAACAGCACAAAAAACAGCAACAAGCTCAATGGTCACTGACAGATGGCAGAATGAACAATGGCCTCTGGACCCAACGGACGCTCTGCAGCTGTGGGTAAGAGAAACCCTGGGCGCTGATACCCCTGGCCTCCAGGACACACTGCCAGGGAAGGGGCAGGGCTGTGGAGAGGGAGAGGAGAATGCTTCGTTTCTGTGAGCCACACAGGAGCCCCTGCCTCTGCTGCGGGGGCCTCAGTGACCCACAGCAAGGGGCAGAGAGGGCACTGGGCATCGCTGGAACCAGGGTCAGCATGCCTGTCTGGCTGGAAATTCCACACCGCAATTGGGTACCCGGAGCCCAGCCTGGAGCCGCTGTACTCTGGGAGAGGACCTCGGCCCCAGGGAACATGCACCACAGTCCTGGGGTGGCATCTCAGGCCGTGTGGCCGGTGCCCGCTGGTTTGTAACAGCCAATTGCACCACACTGCAAGCAAGTTCCTAACTGAATCACAGGGCAACAAAAAGGCAAAACCCCAAGAGCTGCCCCGTACCTGCATCCAGAAGAAAAGCCGCTTGGACCCTGCCTTGAACTTCAGCACGTAGACCCTCCCGCTGGGGCACTGCGGCACCCGCTTGAACTCACAGTCATCAGGGAAGATGATCAAGTCCTGGCAAGCCACAGGAAGAGAGAGTCAGCGGTGCAGATGGCACCACTGTGCCCAGTCTCAGGAGAGCATGCCAGGCCCTGGGTCTAACGGGGTGGGGTGCACAAGAGGCAGCTAAGCCGCCAGATCCCTGCTGGCAGGGTCTCCACCAGGTGGAGAAGCCAGGGTCAGAGACAGCCCATGAAAGGCAAGGCGCGGGGGAGAGAGCGGGGAAATGGGCCTTTCAGATAGCAACAGGGTTTCTGAGACGTGTTGGGAACAACATTCCTAGAGTAGTTAAAAGGTCAACTCTGAACTACTCTCCAATGTAACAAAAAACAACTTAAAGTTTGAAGAACAAAGAAGACTGAGTGAAGCGGCCAGGCAGAGAGCTCCAGGCTCTCCAGGGCCACACCTCCAACCCCAGGCACCTCACACGGGAAGTTCAAGACACACAGTGGCCGAGACGCCCCTGTCATCGCGGAAACCAGGACGACCCATCAGCACGACAGCCGATGACGGCCCCACGAGCGTTCCCCAGATGCGGCCAAGCCCCCACCGCGAACTCCAAAGCGAGGACTCCGAGGGCCCGAGAAGTCGCCTGTCCCGCTGTTGCGGCTCTGGGACACTCACGTCTTCCACGTTCCCGGACGTCCTGTCCTTCCAGCAGAAGTGAATAAGCGAGTCGTCCGTCTGCTGAATGTACACCAGCCCTTTCCGCTTATCCGGGGTCACGGTGGTCCCCTTCAGGGACATCTTTCCCGCCCGAAACTCCACCAGGTACTTGTTGGAGGCGCCCCGAGAGCCTGGCACCAGGCTTGGGAAGAGCGCGCCTGAGGTCGTCATCCTGAAAGCGCGGAGACGACGCTGAGACGCGGCGGTCACGGTCGCCTGCGGTCCGGCAAGCTCCCGCCCCCCGGGGTGTTTGGGAGCAGGGGGCCGGCGCCCAGAGCTGCCTAAGGCCGCGCAGGCCCCGTCCACACTGACACGCTGGGCTGCTTTCCGCGTTTCCCCCGCGCCCGCCGAACGCACCGCCCGCAGTCGGCGCTGGGCCGGGGCAGCCCCGCTGAGCCTAATGGGGCCGGCCCCAGGCGTGACGCCGTCTCCGCGGGGAACCAGCCTCGACGCGCCGCCCCGGCGACCCGCTCCGCGGGGTAGACCCGCCCGAGCTCCCGCCGAGCCCCACGCTCAGGGCCGCAGGCGGAACCGGGGCGGCGCCCGAACCCCAGAGCCCCCACCCGGCCCGGCCCCCGCAGGCCCCGCCCGCCGCGCCGGCCACCTTCTCGTCCTGGCTGACCCCGCCCCATCCCGGGACCAGCAGCCCCTGCCCCCGCCTCCGGTCGCCCCTGGCAGCCCCAGGACCTGCGACCCCCGCACCTGCCTCGCGCCCACACTCGTACGAGAGGCGCCGTCCGGGCTCTTCCTCCTCGGCGCCTGCCGGGCCCCGCCGGAAGCCCGCGTTCGGCCCGCCCCGCCTGCCGCTCTCGCCACCGATTGGGCCTCGGAGGCCGCGAGGCCGGCCCTAATCTGCCACCGATTGGCGAGGGCGATCGTCCATCGCACTCGCTCCTCCCCGGTCCGCCCCCGCGCCGGCGCCTCTTTTCCGGCGGAAGCGCGGGCCGGGAGGCGCGTGGGCCAGAGCGGCCCCTATTGTTGCTGTGTCATAGGGGAGCGGCGGCGGCCCCTAGAGGCGGCGCCAAGGACCGCAGGCGGGTTTCAGAAGCGCGCTGGGGACCTGCTGAGGTCGGGCCAAGCCCACCCCTCGGCGTCGCCAGCCCGGGCGGGCAGAGCTGTCACTCGTGTGACTGTGCCAGGGGATAGGCGGAAGCCGAGGAGTGCGGTCCGGCTCTGGGCGGCAGGCACCAGGGCCACGCACAGAAGTGACCATGGTTCAGTGCTTCGGGCACCCGGGCAGGAACTGCAGTCCACGCGTCCGGGAGAGCAGGGGTCCGGGAAGGGAGAGCAGGGGTGAGAACCGTGACGTGGTCTCAGCTGCATACATCTAGTCCCGCAGGGGTCGGGGAGGGCAGAGGTCAGGGAGGGGTGGGTCCCGGAGGAGAGGGGTCCCGGGAGGGGAGGGGGTCTCCGAGGGGAGGGATTTGGGAGGGGTGAGTCCGGGAGGGGAGAGGTTCCCGGAGGGAAGGGATCTGGGAGGGGTGAGTTCGGGACGGGAGGAGTCAGGGAAGGCCTGAGTCCCAGAGGGGTGGGGTCCGGGAGGGCAGGGGTCCCGGAGGGCAGGGGCTTATCCTCTGGGCGCCTGGATGGGAAAGGCCACAGGGTAAAAAGGCTGCAGTCGCCCTCCAGTGTTGTGTAACTTTGAGTCACTTTTGACACAAACTAAAGCGAAGACAACAGAGAGTGCTTGTGGCGCCCCAGCCGGCTGCTGAAGAGGGACACGTTCTTTGGGATTTGCCTACAGCGACGCCAGGCGGGGGCTCTTAGAGGGGTCCGGCGCGGTGGCTCACGCCTGTAATTCCAGCACTTTGGGAGGCCGAGGGGGCGGATCACTTGAGGCCAAGAGTTCAAGACCAGCCTGGGCAACATGGTGAAACCCCGACTCTACTAAGAATGCAAAAATTAGCAAGGAGTGCTGGCACATGCCTGTAATTCCAGCTACTCAGGAGGCTGAGGCACGAGAATCGCCTGAACCCGGGAGGTGGAGGTTGCAGTGAGCTGAGATTGTGCCACTGCACTCCAGCCTGGGCAACAAAGGGAGACTCCTCAAAAATAAAAAATAAAATAAATAAATAATAATAGTAATAAAAATGGTCAGGAGCTTCGTGAGAACCCCGAGGTGCAGTGGCCTCGGCACCCGTTAAGCAGGAGGACTAGATGTCTGCAGCTGAGACCCTGCCAGGGTCCTCGGGTTCTCCTTTGCCCACTGCTCACTTCCTTCTTTCCTTCAGATACTCTGCTCACTTCGGGCGCTCCCCGGGGTCAGCGTGTGCTTGGTGGCTCACCCTCCGAGTGGATGCACAGCTCTCTGAGGTCTTTAGGTGTATGTTTTCATTCACCCTTGTTGGGAGATGCGTTGGTGTTGATGCTGGCAGCTCCAGTCCTTTCATTCTGCAGGGAGCCTACTGCTCAGCCCTCCATTGTCTCAGTGGCAGAGCTTGTGCCAGTTATGTTTAGTTGCCAGCTTTTGACTGTCATAATGCTCCCATTCATGTTGTTTTGGAAAATGTAGCTATTTTTCATTTTAAAATGTGTGTTAACAGGTAGTGAGTTTGTTATTTTTATGTAGTTAAATAATTTTAAATGTCCTCTTAATTCCTAGTATGGTAAATGTCAATAAAGCTCACATAAACAAAAGCTCTTTGGGGTCCTGTATAATTTTTAAGAATTTGGCCGGGCGCGGTGGCTCAAGCCTGTAATCCCAGCACTTTGGGAGGCCGAGACGGGCGGATCACAAGGTCAGGAGATCAAGACCATCCTGGCTAACACGGTGAAACCCCGTCTCTACTAAAAAAAATACAAAAAACTAGCCGGGCGAGGTGGCGGGCGCCTGTAGTCCCAGCTACTCGGGAGGCTGTGAGGCAGGAGAATGGCGTAAACTCGGGCGGCGGAGCTTGCAGTGAGCCGAGATCCGGCCACTGCACTCCAGCTTGGGCGACAGAGCGAGACTCCATCTCAATTTAAGGGGTCCAGAGGCTAAAGGGCTTGAGAGGGGCTAACACAAAGCTCTGGGGCCCGCTGGTGATAGGTGCGCCACTGATACTGCAGCCCCGTCCTCGTGCCCTCATGTAAAACAGGGAAAAGGCCAACCCGGCTTTCCCGGCAAGAGGGTGGCAGGCAAGTGTCACTTATTGACGTCACAGACAGTGAAGCAGCAGCTCCAGGGTCCGCAGGGGCCAAGTGTGCAGAGGCCAACGAAGTGGCCAAGAGGGCCCTGGATTTACCATTTCCTCCAGTTCCTGGTGGCCCTGTGGCCTGGGACGGCTCAAAACAAAAAACCCCAGAACGCTTTACCTACACTTCAAGTGAAATTCGCACATTCCTATGAGCACGCCGCAGTGAGGAAACAAGCCGCAGCCAGACAGGCATCGCAGAGGCCACTGTGGGTGCCTGCTGCCAGCGCACAGGCTCTATGCATGTGTGGGGTGTGGCACCTGGACCACCCAGCAGCCCAGGACTCCAGCTGTGGCCATGGAGTGGGTGGGGGCACACGCTGCTTTCTGTCAGGAATCTCGGACTTGAAGCACACGCAAGGTTGGAAGGGCCGTGTGACAGGCGCAGCTGTCGCTATCTAATTGGTCGCTGATGGCAGTTGGTAGGATGTCTGCAAAATGCCTGCAGCATCTAGAGGAGCAGCCTCACCGGGACACGCGCATTCAACTCAAGGATTTGGATTAAGAGATCCCCTAAAGGAGATTTCTATTCATCCTGTTTAGCAAAAAAAAAAACCAAAAAACAAGCCCTGGACTTGCACGATGGCTCACACCTGTAATCCCAGCACTTTGGGAGGCCAAGGTGAGAGGGTCCCTCGCAGCTCAGGAGTTCAAGACCAGCTTAACCAAGACAGTGAGACCCCGTCTTTACAAAAAGACAAATGAAACAAGAGCCAGGCGTGGCAGTGCACGCCTGTAGTCTCAGCTACTTGGGAGGCTGACGTGAAGGTCAAGGCCGCAGTGAGCCGTGATGGCACCACTGCACTCCAGCCTGGGTGACAGAGCGAGACCCTGTCCCAAGAAAGCCCCAAACGGTGAAGAAAGCACACCCCGACGCTCTCCACGTGCTGCAGGCTCCTCGGGTGACAGCCCGGGCCGCGCCTCCAGTCAGCAGAAGACACCTCCGGATGTTCCACCAAAGAGGTCACAGGCGGCAAAGCACCGTGGCAAGCTGCTCCACACCATTATTCATGAGAGAAATGCCAATGAAATACACCTGCTGGGGCTAAAAGCAGACGACAGAAGGTGCCAGGCAAAGTTGGGAACGCCAATGGCACGGCTACTTGGGAAAAGCGTTAGGCAGGGGTAGGGTTTTTAAAACTTTTTTTTTTTTTGAGATGGAGTCTTACTCTATCCCCTAGGCTGGAGTGCAGTGGCTTGATCTCAGCTCACTGCAGCCCCCGCCTCCCGGGTTCAAGCAGTTCTCCCACCTCAGCCTCCTGAGTAGCTGGGATTACAGGTGCAAGCCACCAGGCCCAGCTAATTTTTGTATTTTTATTAGAGATGGGGTTTCACCATGTTGGCTAAGCTGGTCTCGAACTCCTGAGCTTGAGCGATCCACCCACTTCGACCTCCCAAAGTGCTGGAATTACAGGTGTGAGCCACCACGCCTTGCGTTTTTTGTTTTTTTTTTTTTTAACATTTTAAAAATGTCTAAGACAAGTCACAACTGAGCAGAGGGCGAACAGTTCTGGTTCCCCTGGGTGTTCGGTGAGCTGCACCGACACCAGGTCAGCACCCAGAGTCCGCCATTTGCATCGAGGTCCACCATCGGTCCATCTGTGCTGCCACACCACCACCACTGACCAGGCAGTTTACAAAGAACAGAAACTAATTTCGCACAGTTCTGCAGGGCAGGACGTCAGCGTCAGTGGGGTGGCAGGCTTGGTTTCTGGTAAGAGCTGCTCTCCCCATCTGACATGGCGCTGATGCTCTGTGGGGCAGACCAGGCAGTGGGGGATGAGCCTCTGGCTCCAGGCTCAGGCAATGATGGTGGAGCCCCACGGCCACACACCTGGAGCATTCCGAGAGCATGGATGTCTCATGGACCGTGTGTCCCTCTGCCCCAGCCACAGTGACCACTGGGATGACCGTGTCTGCTCAGCTCACACTCCTGAAAAGCACGGAGGTGCTGGGGCCACTTACGGCAGAAGGCAGGCAGCTGAAACCTGTGGCACCAGGCACTTCGCTGCTTCTAGCAGTAGCCTCCCCCTGCCAGCGGAGGGGAGTCCATCAGAGCCTCCTGCTGCTTGGAGAACCTGGGCGCTCCACCCCTTGCATGTGCCACCCAACAGGTCTCACGAGTGTTCCCCAGTCTCCTCCTCACAGGGCAGTTTTTGAAAATGAGCATTTGCTTGGCCAATCCTCAGGAACACACGGTCCAAACATCTGATAACTGGGCATGAGGACTCATGCATAGCAGATTTGTAGCCCTTTTCAAAATGGCCAGAGCGGCTGAGATGGTGAAAAATTGCTCAATGTAAAACAAAGGTCACCGGCTGCCCGTCTTCAGAGAATCTTCATTCAAAACTTAGAGGCTAACATTTATTTTCACAGATGTGTACACAGCCCTCTGAAAAACCTGAGGATGACTGTGTTAATGCAGATTGGCACTGAGTTATTAAATATTATAAAATAAGCGCGTTCTGCTGGCATCTTTTCTCAGCTGCCGTGTCCATGCTGCCTGCTGGGATGAATGGCGCTGGAGGAGCAGCTAGGCGCAGGCACGGTGAGGGGTGAGGGCCTGGGAGGCGTGGGCAACAGGAGCGCCCGGCTGCATGCCATCGCCCTCTGCAGAGCCACCATCGCGCTTCTAAACATCTGGCCACAGCAGCCTGGCTCCCAAAGCTCACCAAGCGAAGGACCGACTGCAAAGTGAACTTCGTACCCAGAACTGGCAAACGTGGCTTTTGCCTCCCAGAAATTTTACTTCAGCCTGTAGAGGACGGTGAGGGACATCTTTTTTTTTTTTTGGAGACGGAGTCTCGCTCTGTTGCCCAGGCTGGAGTGCAGTGGCCGGATCTCAACTCACTGCAAGCTCCGCCTCTCGGGTTTACGCCATTCTCCTGCCTCAGCCTCCCGAGGAGCTGGGACTACAGGCGCCCGCCGCCTCGCCCGGCTAGTTTTTTGTATTTTTTAGTAGAGACGGGGTTTCACCGTGTTAGCCAGATGGTCGCGATCTCCTGACCTCGTGATCCGCCCGTCTCGGCCTCCCAAAGTGCTGGGATTACAGGCTTGAGCCACCGCGCCCAGCCGAGGGACATCTTTTGAGGGGTCCCGAGGGAGACCCAGCTCCCACGCTGCCTGGCAAGCAGCAGGAGCCACAGCCAAGTTCTCGGCCACCGCAGGGGCCCCGTCTTTTGTGCCCACTTTACACACAGGCAAGTCCAGACGTGCCCATCAGAGAAAACTGGGACCATCATGACTTCCCTCGGATGGATCGAACTCTCCTCTGGGTCCAGCTGTGCCCCTTGCCCACGCTCTGTGAACTCTGTCGCCCAGCACAGTGGGAAGCTCATTGGAACTTGTAACTGTCTTTGCTTTGTTTTCCTTCACGGAAATGACAAGAACCTTTAAAACTTGTAAATCCCCATTTCTGCTGGGGAGAAATTTTCCCCAAAGAGCAGGACGCAGGACGCCTTGTGAGGAGGCCTCCAGGAATTTCTCTCGTCCTGTTCGAACCTCCTGACCTTGTGTTCGGATGTGTCTGGCAAACCGTGGCAGGTCCTTGGTGTTTAAGGCCAGTGCCCCAGATGGACAGCTCCATGCTCAGACACGTGGACAGTGGGGTGCCCGGAGGCCACCAGGGTGGCATGTGGCACTTCAAGTGCTGGGCCCTGCTGGGTCTGACATTTGCGTCCCCTGCAGCAGACTGCTTGTCGGGCAGAGTTGTAGCCCTGACCCTCCAACCAGCACAGATGCCGTGAGTTCTGGAGATGGTGTCTGGGAGCGGTGGTGGTGACCGGGAGCACCTGCAGGCACCGCTCTTCTGTGCCAGCTTTCCCACTTGCCAATAGAGGCTGGGAAACACATGGCGCACACAGGCGCCTCCCCACGATCAAGGCCTCTGGGACGCTGGCTCAATCTCCGCCCAGACAGCAGTCTCTGGAGGGTCTGGCCTCAGGGAAGCCTGCATCAGCAAAACGCTGGATGCCCATCAGGGCCCGGGACCAGAGCCGGCTGTCCTCACTTCCCACAACCCCAGCCTCGCCCAGTGAGAAGGCTACAGGTGCTGGTGACACCTGACCCCTCACCGGCCTCGGACACTAGGGCAGGGCAGACGTCGCAGGTGGCTAGCGACTCAGATCCACACCATCATCCCGGGTGAGCCTGGTGAGCAGCGATGCCAACATGTGCTTCACATACAGCTCTCCGGGAGGCACGCCTGTTCACCATTCTGTCTCCAGCAGCTGACAATACATATACCCTGAACCAATGACCATGGAAATGAATTCTAATTTCAATTAGCAATAGAATCCAATCAAGGTATTAGGTTCTGTTGGGGAATAAACTTGCTAAGTTTTTCATTCTGTAAGGACATCCTACATAACAAGATTAATTTTAAAAGAACCAAGGTCCTGGTACAGTAGCTCACACCTGTAATCCTAGCACTTTGGGAGGCTGAGGCAGGAAGACTGCTTGAGCCCAGGAGTTCAAGGCCAGCTTGGGCAACACAGTGAGATCCTGTCTCTACAATTATTTTTTTTAAATAGCTGGGTTTGGTGGCATGCGACTATGGTCCCAGCTACTTGGGAGGCTGAGGCTAGAGAACCGCTTGAGCCCAGGAAGCCGAGGCTGCAATGAGCTATGATTGCACCACTGCACTCAAGCCTGGGCAACTGACCCTATCTCTAAAAGTGAATCAAGCACCAAGACCCTTGGTCAAGGCCATACTCACACTCAAACACGTGGCCCACGAGAAGGCCATCACTTTGCACACATTAAGTGCTGGCCATCTTTATTAAATAGAGATGTTTAACATTCAATAGATATCAAAGGTGACAAAAGTTAGGTCATAGTTTACGTGTTAGCATTTGCAGAAACAGTAACAAATAATAAAAAGTTAAAATAACCTTTGACACACAGCTGCCTTTGCAATCAGCCTTCCTACCGTTCTTCCTCCACCTCTGGTTTGGTGTCTGTGCTCAGGGACAGCAGAAGAGGGGCTATCTATGCAGCCAACGAGCCCCTGAAATACCAGGAGCCTGGTGCTGGGAGAGGACTTGGAAACAAACCTGTTGGCAAATTATCTTAACCAGTAAGAACTGGAACGATCAGTAAGAAGTCGTTAAACTTCCCTAAATGCAGTCACTTTCAATGTGTCTGAGTCTCACCTTTGGATGTTCTCAGCTTTTAATGTTTCTTGGAGAATGAGCTGGTTCACAGCCGCAGTGTGGAAAAGCAGGTAACCCTCCACCAGAGGCACATGGGCTCCACCTTCCAGTCATTGGGGATTTCCAAGTCTCCTCTTTGAAAAATGCCACAATCCTAAATCCTCAGACCCAGTTACAAGTCACCAAGTGCTTCTGTTCAGACACGTCTGAGTGGCTGGTACAGAGCTCGCAGGTCCCAAGGATGACACAGGACTCGGCACCGAACACCACTGCTTCCAGCTTCCAAAGCCACACAGGACTTGGCACCAAACACCATCGCTTCCAGCTTCCAAAGCCACACAGGACTTGGCACCAAACACCATCGCTTCCAGCTTCCAAAGCTACAAAATCAAGCTTTCAAAACACATGTTCACTTCTAGAAGTGCTTCCATCACAGGTGTGGTGTGCAAACCAAGACACACGCAGGTGGCACCTGTCATTCAGAAGTGCCGGCCTTAGTAACCTGGACTCCAAGCAGCTGTGCGTTGTGTGTGTGTGCATGCACACAACCGACAGTCCTTCATTCAAAGTGCTCCACTGTGATCTCTCGTGTTGACAATTCTACATAAAGAAAATCAGTCACGGCCAGGCGCAGTGGCTCATGCCTGTAATCCTAGCACTTTGGGAGGTTGAGGCAGATTACTTGAGGTTGGGAGTTCGAGACCAGCCTAACATGGTGAAACCCCATGTCTACTAAAAATACAAAATTAGCCAGGCGTGGTGGCGCATGCCTGTAATCCCAGCTACTCGGGAGGCTGAGGCAGGAGAATCGCTTGAACCCAGGAGGCGGAGGTTGCGGTGAGCCGAGATCGTGCCATTGCACTCCAGCCTGGGCAACAAGAACGAAACTCCATCTCAAAAAAAAGAAAAAAAAAAGAAAGAAAATCAGTCACTTGATAAAGGTGAATGCTGAGATGGACACATACCTATTTTTGGTTAAATAACTTTAATTACACCACTGTAAGTAGATTCTGCCTCTGACCGTCCCACAGCACACAACCGAATGTGATTCTTGTCACTTCTATTTTAAACATGCATACTGGGAAAAACAGAAACACAAGAGTGCTATGGGTACACGCGACGTGTAAAAAGAAATGAACCCCTTGAAGACATGGACATGGTGTGCGGTGACAGCCAGGCCTCACTGACGACAGGGCACGCAAGTTGGAGCCAGGACGCCTCTGAGGCGGGAGCAGTCTTAGGATTTCCTGTCATGCTCTTGATGCTTCTGCCCACTCTGGGTTGTCACGGTGATGCTTCATTTTGGACAGTATAAAACCGGTGATTAATGCATATCTTGCTCTTCAGCAAAATACTATTCAAGTAGTTTTAACTTAAATATTTTAAAAGTAATCTTTACATTATTGAAGATTGTTAAAAAATACAGAATCTGACAACTGTTCACTCAATCTGATGCTCTGAAACTCTTCACTTCTGTATTACCATAATTTAGAAGGCAGTCCCTGGCCTTTATCAAGCTCTCTGCAGGATTATTTTCAAGATCCATCTTTCCCCCACTGGTTCGAGTTTAAAAGACTGTCAGAACCTTTTGCCACTGCATTATAAGAAGAACATGAACCCCTTCCCATTACTTCCTTTAGCTACACATTCTATGACTGAGAGTGAGCTGGAAGCTACACAAGCCCCAGCTGATTTCTGCCACATACAAGGGCGCTGTGAAGAATTTCCCTGTTGAAACCTTAATGAAGACGATGATCCCAAGTGAAGCTTTATGAAGAGACGGTACAGCAGAGAGTGAAATGTTTGGCAATCAACAGTGAATTAGAATTACATCCTTGATCAGGGACGGTGCTGTCGCCGCGAACACAGTCGTTAGAAAAGTTGGTTTCTGCTGTGACGAGGCTCAGAGTGGCCACTCGAGGAAGTCCAGCCTCGTCAGCCTCCGGTCCCGGGCCCCAGGCCCCTCCAGGCCCTCAGTAGATATCTGGGCAGTCGGAGAAATTCCGCTCAAAGTAATCCCCTGCATACAACCAGTCGGGGGTCCCAGTGTAGGGGTTATTGCCTGGGTAGAACCACCTGCCGGACACAAGGGAGGGGTCAGAAGATGCTCAGCCCAAAAGGAAAACGCAGCCCTGCTCTGGGGGCAGGAGTGTGTTCCCCCAACTCAGCACCATCACAGTACCATGGGTTTTAAAATGCAGCCCAGGGTAACAACCTCAATGGAGGATTACTGATCCTGTGGTCACGTGAATGCTGGAACCTAAAGATATGCAGCCACCCATGTCCATTTCACTTCCCAACAAAATCTGGAGGGTTTAACTCAACACAAAATCCTCACACTGGGCGCTTATCAGAGAAGTTACTGGAGCCTAAATAATGCCTCTCCCTTTTCAAGGCAAAAGCAGTTACACTGTTCATATTTGCTTTCATTTGAAGCAAACCAAGTATTTGATTTTTTAATTGAGGACAAAGGAAGACATTATAGGCAAAGAGAAGGTAGCACAGAGCCCGGGTGTTGGGGCTGGCTCAGCCGCCATCCACAGTGCCCGACTGGCACTCAGGGCCCAAGGGGTGTCCTTAGTGTTGGGGGTGGGGTGGGGGGGCGGCACTCACAAAGGAGAAGACATTTTCTTCAAAGGATAAAAGATCATTATTTTCACATTATATTTTTTAACACTTTAAAAAAACAAAGAAGAGGCTGGGCACAGTGGCTCACGCCTGTAATCCCAACACTTTGGGAGGCCTAGGCGGGCGGATCATGAGGTCAGGAGATCGAGACCACAGTGAAACCCCGTCTCTACTAAAAATACAAAAAATTAGCTGGGCGTGGTGGCTCATGCCTGTAATACCAGCTATTCAGGAGGCTGAGGCAGGAGAAAGGCATGAACCCAGGAGGCGGAGCTTGCAGTGAGCCAAGACTGCGCCACTGCACTCCAACCTGGGCGACAGAGTGAGACTCCGTCTCAAAAACAAAACAAAACAAAACAAAACAAAACAATGAGGAAAGGTTAACTATTTTAAAGCTGATTTTTCTCTGGATTAAGGGCAAATTCCAAATATCAAACCATTCAAAGCCTAGTATTAAATTAAATTGGAAGCCCAAACAGTGAGAATTGGTTTCAAAATGCCAGCCACAAGTAAATCACTGGATACCATTGTTATTGGGCCTTGAAAATGAATCCTACCAAGTAGGTGGCCTAACAGAATTAAGATGCTTCACAAATACCCAAAGATTGTTCTAACGAACTAAAACCTTTTACTTATAAATACATTTAAAATTATACTTATTACAGTACATTACTGATTGAATTCTTATTCGATGGTTCTTTTCTCTTATGACTATTATAGAATAAACTACAGCCAGCTTACGACAGTTACAGAAACAGGAATCATGTCCTGGCAGCTGATGCTTCTGTGAGACCCACGCGGGCTCACGCCATCGTCCCAGCCTCCGTGTGCACAGATGCCACGGCACAGCACACGGGATTTAATTTTCACAAAACCTTTCCAGGTCACAGTGTGAAGATCAGCCTGAGTGGCGCTGACAGGAAGATGTGGTATTGGTGTGACAGGCACGGCCTCCACACGGTGCCACCTCCCGACCCACAGGGGCTGTGGCCCTGGGGGACCTCAACCATACACTCACCAGCTGTGTTTTCCTAAAGGGAGCAGCCACATTCGGGCAACATTTTCTCTTTAACTTTGCCACAGTTGAGAAGAAAGCTTTGGGCCAACACACCATGAGGCCCGGCAGTAGACCCAGGTCTGAGGTGACAGGCGCTCTGCACAGGCCACCCCCAGCCGGATGGTCTCGGCAAAGTGTGCACTAAGTTGGGATGGGCTCTCACCTGGGCAGTGGGAACCACATGGGTCAGGGGCAACCACTGGTGTCACTACCTTAATGGAGCCATGGAACAGCAACTGTCCAGCCACAGGGGTGTGGGGGTGAGAGAAGGTGCTCCCCACCATCCCCAGGTGTGTGTGGGGCCTCTTGGCTGTCCCCAGGTGTGTGTGGGGCCTCCTCACTCCTTGCTGCCCCAGCCTGCGTGGCTACCACCTACTCACCTCGTCTGCCACTCCGCCTCCTCCCTGGCCCGCTCCCTCCGCGCTTCTCTCTGTTTCTCCTCCAGCCGCTCCTTCTCCTGGCTGGCCAGATCTAGGATAGAAACAAACAGTTTAGGTTAGACAGAGACCTCAGAACCGTACCCTGCCACCCCCCGTGCACCTAGATCTCTAGATGGCATGTCTCACTGTGGCTGGAATGCCACAGACAACAGCTTTTGTGATTGGGAAACCAAACACAATCACAACTGCCGAGGCCAGCTGCCAGTGCGCCAACGGGGCCCTTCCCAAATGGAGCTGAGCAGAGTGGGGGGGCTGCGTGTGCTGCACGTTCTACGACAGCGCGACTCAAAGTCTGCGGGTGCAGGAGTCTGAAGGACAGGCAGGGCCTGAGCACCACCTGATGCCCTAGTGTGCAAGCAGGCGCTCAGGACGGGAAGCCAGCCCCACCATGGGCTGTGCAGATCAGAGCCCATCTTTCAACCAAAGACGAGCTCCATTTAGCCTTAACCTTCCAGGGTAACTGCCATGTGGCTTCTGTGAAGGACTGGGCATACATTCTGAATACAAAGCATGAGAAGTTACATCCCTTCCCAAGTCACACTCCTCGTGAGCTGGGTTTCTCTCCGAACACATCACTAATTCAAGCCAGGTGCGGTGGCTCATGCCTGCGTCCCAGCACTTCCAAGGGCTGAGGTAGGCAGATCGCTCGAACCCAAGAGCTGGAGACCAGCCTGGGCAACATGGCAAAACTCCATCTCTATAAAAAATACAAAAATTAGGCCAGGTGCAGTGTAATCCCAGCACCTTGGGAGGCCAAGGCGGGTAGATCACCTGAGGTCAGGAGTTTGAAACCAGGCTGGCCAACATGGTGAAACCCTGCCTCTACTAAAAATACGAAAATTAGCTGGGCGTAGTAGCAGGTACCTGTAAACCCAGCTACTCGGGAGGCTGAGGCAGGAGAATCTCTTGAACCTGTGAGGCAGACGTTGCAGTGAGCCGAGATCACACCATTGCACTCCAGCCTGGGCAAAAAAAAAAAACAAAAAAAAACCCTGGCCGGGCGAAATGGCTCACATCTATAATCCCAGCACTTTGGGAGGCCGAGGCGGGTGGATTGTGAGGTCAGGAGATTGAGACCATCCTGGCTAACACGGTGAAACTCCATCTCTATTAAAATATATAAAACATCAGTCAGGCGTGGTGGTGGGTGCCTGTAGTCCCAGCTACTCGGGAGGCTTAGGCAAGAGAACAGCCTGAACCCAGAAGGCGGAGCTTGCAGTGAGCCGAAATCGCGCCACTGCACTCCAGCCTGGGGGACACAGCGAGACTCTGTCTAAAAAACAACCTGCAAAAATTAGCCAGGTGTGGTGGCATGCACTTGTAGCCCCAGCTACTTGGGAGGCTGAGGCAGGAGGATCGCTTGAACCTGGGAGGTTGAGGCTGCAGTGAGCCGAGATCACACCACCTTACTCCAGCCTGGGCGACAGAGTGAGATCCCGACTCTAAAAATAAATAAATGAAACATCACTAACTCAAAACCCAGGACACTTTAGATATGCCTCCTCAGTCAGGAGGTTCCCTGCGGATTCCATCGAGATGAGTGAGTGAGAGAGACAGTTGTTCATCAGCCACGTTACAGACAAATGCTGCATGCAGAGCCCACTGGGAGAGTGTGAGGCTGCAGGATACGCCACACACGGGCCAGTGACTGCACTGAGGGCTACACGGATCCTCACGGTGGAACACCTGCAGTTTTCAAAATGTAATCTTAACTTTTGTTTAATAATAAAAAATGAGGAACTTGCACTTTGTTTTTACTGTGTTTTTTGTTGTTGTTTATGAGACAGGGTCTCGCTCTGTCATCCTGGCTGGAGCGCAGTGGCACAATCTCGGCTCACTGTCACCTCCACCTCCTGGGTTCAAGTGATTCTTGTGCCTCAGCCTCCCAAGAAGCTGGGATTACAGTTGGACACCACCGTGCCTGCCTAATTTTTTGTATTTTTAGTAGAGATAGGGTTTCGCCATGTTGGCCAGGCTGGTTTCGAACTCCTGACCTCAGGTGATCCACCAGCCTTGGCCTCCCAAAGTGCTGGGATTACAGGCGTGAGCCACCACGCCTGGCCTAGGACTTGTACTTTGTATGTATTCTTTTTCATTTCATTTTCTAGTAATGTAATTTTAATTTATTTACAAAAGGTTTGGTCTGAGGCAGGCAAGAGATCTTTAAAGCTCATCACCGCAGATGGTCTGAGAAGCCTAGCTGGAAGGCCTGCAGCCTGCCTGTTTGTTTAGGGAGAGGGACCAGGCTCCCCTTGTAGGGGAGAGCCTGGCTTCTGCCAGCGAGTGCTTTGTGCTCTCCCACCCTAGCCAGGGCGCCCTTGGCCCCAGCTCCCTCCTCTGACTGCAGGGACTCACCCATGTTGCCATTCTCCATGCCGCGGATGTCAGGGCGCAGGCGGCAGTCCGTGGGCGGCAGGGTCTTCTCCATGCCTGTCTCCAGCTCGTTGAGGCTCACAGTGAAACTGGTGAAATTATACATCTGTGGAGCAGGCACAGAGATGCGACCTCAGCAGGGCCTCTGAACCATGGACGATGCTCCAAGACCCCCAGTGGGCCTCTGAAACTCCACAGGTGCTATCTGACTGCCACCATGGGAACCTACTTCCACTCACGTTTTCCACCCGCAAATTCCATGCCTCTGCCATCTTCACTAAGTGCGTATCATGCACTGTGGCTGTAACGTTTGCATTTTGAGGTGTAACAGCAAAACTCACACACAAGGCCGGGCGCGGTGGCTCAAGCCTGTAATCCCAGCACTTTGGGAGGCCGAGGCGGGTGGATCACGAGGTCAGGAGATCGAGACCATCCTGGCTAACATGGTGAAACCCCGTCTCTACTAAAAAATACAAAAAACTAGCCGGGCGTGGTGGCGGGCGCCTGTAGTCCCAGCTACTCAGAGGCTGAGGCGGGAGAATGGCGTGAACCCGGGAGGTGGAGCTTGCAGTGAGCCGAGATCGCGCCACTGCACTCCAGCCTGGGCGACAGAGCGAGACTCCGTCTCAAAAAAAAAAAAAAAAAAAAAAAAACTCACACACATTTCTTTTTCTATCTTCACAATTTCATTGACAGATTTGTCACCAGCTTGCTGGAAACACTTCGGCCACGCTACCTGTCTCCCACTCCTAAACCCTCAGCTTGTACCTGCTCCTTCCCTGCCCTCAGCCACACCTGCCCACAGATTCCTCCTCTTTACCCCTGCAGCTGCCAAAGCCTCAGCCCTGGGAGCAAGTTAATCTGTCACATTAAAAACCGGAATGCTTAGGGCATGACAGTCCCCCCGTGCCTAGGACAACCAGAGCCTTGCTCTGCCTGACTTCTGGCTTGCAGCTGTCTGCTCAGTGTCTCGTGGACAGCACACCCGAGCAGGCCTGTAGCAGCACCCTGCACCCACAGCCTCCCGGCCTCTGCACCACAGCCTCCCGGCCTCTGCAGCCCTCAGGGCCCCGGCTCCACTCAGGTCCTCCTGCCACAGCCAGGCCCTCCAGCCGCCACCCGTGTCCTCCCTCTTCTGTTGCTGCCCTCACAGCATATCAACAAGCAGCCAGAAAGGCCACAGGAAACATCAACCGCACCCGTCATTCCCTGTTCAAATGATTCATGGTGCCCCATGTCACTCATAACAAATACTGAAGTCATCTGGAGACCCCTGCACTCCCCCCACCCTCATCCTCACGGCCCCCTGGGCCTTCTAGCCCTCATACACTAGTCTACTCCAGGGGGCTCTGCCCTGGCTGTCCCCTCCACCCAAATGCAATCCCTAGACACCCCCACCCCTACCCCATGACTGAAGCCACAGCACTCAGATGCCCTCCCTAGCACCCAAGGCACCACCTGGCTCTCAGGTACGAGTCAACCACCTGCCCCACCTCCCTGCTGGGACCTCATCCACCTGGTCCCAGAGCCCAGGCCCACAGGGCCTGGCAGGCAGAAGGACTCAACACATATGCTGAGCCAAAGGCTGGAAGCACAAGTTATCGTTAAAGAGACTTCCCTGAAAAAATACATAAGCAATTTTCCTAATAATAAATTTAAAATACCAATAGTATCGTTGGCAGGCCACAGTGTCTCATGCCTGTGGTCCCAGCAACTCAGGAGGCCAAGGCAGGAAGATTGCTTGAGGCCAGGAGTTTGAGACCAGCCTGGGCAACATAGCAAGACCTCCTCTCTACAAAAAATAGAAAATCAGTCTGGCATGGTGGCACACGCCTGTGGTCCTTGCTACTTGGGAGGCTGAGGTGGGAGGATCACTTGAGCCCAGAACTTGGAGACTGCAGTGAGCCAAGATCATACCACTGCACTGCAGCCTGGGTGACAGAGCGAGACTCTGCCTCTACCAAAAAAGAAAACAGCATTGTTAAAGCAGTTCATACTCTAATCAAATGATAACAGCGACTGTTGAGATAACGTGTTTACAGTGAAGGTTTTGCTTTCTTTTCTGTATTTTACACGTTCTGCTCTGTTTATGGGACATAAAAATTGCGTAAGTTGCATATATTTTATATATAAATAAGAATTTATAAAAGATACTAAAATATTACATGTGATATTTATCGTATAACCATATATCACATTTTGTCATAAAACATGTAGTTTATCTATATTTAATAAAAATTGTAAGTGCAATTTTCAAAAATAAATATCACAATGCATTTAAGCATCTAAATTGACAAGTTAGAAAAGCAATCTCCCGAACAGGTCTGGAAGGCTCTTTTGATAAGATGCACTCGGTGTGGGCCTTGGCCGGCAATGGCTGCGTCTGTCTGATGTTCCCAGGGGAAGCACAAGCATGTGTGCCTGGAGCAGCGGTGCCCGGCCCCAACAGCGGGCCCCAAGGCAGGCAAGCACAGGGCCGGGACACAGCTCCAGGGACAACAGAAGCCAATTCAACACGGGCAGAGGCCCCTCCGTCTGCTCTGGGACAACAGGCTGAGGCAAGGTGGCACACAAGGGCCCAACGACAGGGAAGAGCCGAGGTGCTGGGCTCAGGGGCAGGTCTGATGTGGGCAGGCAGTAAGGCCTGGCCTCACAGCGGGGGCGTCAGGCCACAGAGGGACACAGACCTGGGCAGAGTTGGGGGGCCGGGTGTTGATCCTCCAGAGCAGCTTGCTGCCGGGAATGACCTGCACGGTCTCCTGGGCCACAGGCACGTCGTCAGCCACGTCGCTGTCAGCCTTCCCAGAGATATCATCCTGAAACACAGAACCCTGCTGGGTGGCTGCCCACGGCCAGGCCGCTCTTGGCCAGGAGGACAGCTATTCTCAGAGCACCTTTCAGACCAGTCACCATGCCTGAGCAGAGCCAGGCGGCCCTTTTGTTTTTTTAGACGGAGTCTTGCTCTGTTGCCCAGGCTGGAGTGTAGTGGTGCGATCTCGGCTCACTGCAACCTCCGCCTCCCGAGTTCAAGAGATTCTCCTGCCTCAGCCTCCTGAGTAGCTGGGATTACCAGCACCCACTACCACACCCAGCTAATTTTTTGTACTTTTACTACAGACTGGGTTTCACTATGTTGGCCAGGCTGGTCTCGAACTCCTAACCTCAGGCAATCCACCTGCCTCGGCCTCCCAAAGTACTGAGATTACAGGTGTGAGCCACCACGCCCGGCCTTTTTTTTTCCTAAACTAAGGACAAAATCAAATTTCCTCTCCAGTCTATGACACTGTCTGTCCATCACTGTATGGAGAGGAGCTGGACCCCAGTCCCTAAAGCAGCTCACACTCCCTTCGTGGGGCTGTGCTGTGTGTTCTAACTGATACCAAAAGCAGAGACAACAGGAGGTCAGTGGCCAGGCGTGTTCCCCTTCGGGAGACGCGGTACACGTGACACGGCACCTCACGGAGTCTGAGCGCGACTACACGGTGGTGCTTCCAAGCAGTATGTTCGTTCTCACGCACGGCACCTCTCCAGAAGGCAGGTTCTGGGACTGAGAGCTTTCTATATGGCGCAGCTTTGCCCTCCATCAAGAAATGGCTCCTGTGTGGGGATTTCAGACTCTCTACATCCTGATGAAAAGAAAAAACCTGCCACATTGCTTCTCAAAATCAATGGGTCCTAGAAAAGGGAGAGAATGATTCCAGATGCAGCTGTGCAAGGAGATGACTGAAAACAATTGAGTCCAAGCCCAGGGCTTCCTGCACCAGCAGGGCTGTATTCACACTGGCTGTATTCACACCGGCTGCATTCACACCGGCTGCATTCACACCGGCTGCAGGCTGCACACTGGCTGCATTCACACCGGCTGTATTCACACCGGCTGCATTCACACCGGCTGTATTCACACTGGCTGTATTCACACCGGCTGCATTCACACCGGCTGCAGGCCGCGTGGCCCGAGGCTGGGCGAGGGGGAGCCGCGGCTCAAGGACAAGCCTTCACAGAAAACTCTCCTGTTTCTAGGTCACCTCAAGGAGTAGGAAAGCATCAAAAAACATCACTAAATGGATTTACCCTTCTAGGTCTGTCTAGTGTGTAAGCAGAAGTTTCCTTTTTAAATAAAAGAGGGTGATTAGAAAAGGTGTCTAACAGTACATGAATACTACAACATAAAAAACACTTGGGATCCGGAGGAGGCTGAACGTTTCCGTTAAATAAATATCGAACACTTCAGGCTTGGTACATTCCAATTCATTATGTAGAAAATATGACACCTCTTTTGAACTATCGCTTTTATTTTTAAGTTCAAGGACAACTAGTTTTAAGGTAATAAGTATTCCAAAGCTCTAGGGGGAAAAGCCTTGCCAATACTTTCTGGCTGTTGAATATATTATCTGGTACTCACAACTAAAAACAAAAAATTGAAATTCACTTGATTTTTAAAAATATGTCTAGGCTAACTCAAAGAAAGCGAGAAGATTTATTAAGAAGCACCCAGAACCTGGAGTTTCCAGAAAAGAAATGGCCTTGGCCGGGCGCGGTGGCTCAAGCCTGTAATCCCAGCACTTTGGGAGGCCGAGACGGGTGGATCATGAGGTCAGGAGATCGAGACCATCCTGGCTAACACGGTGAAACCCCGTCTCTACTAAAAAATACAAAAAAAACTAGCCAGGCGAGGTGGCGGGCGCCTGTGGCCCCAGCTACTCGGGAGGCTGAGGCAGGAGAATGGCGTGGACCCGGGAGGCGGAGCTTGCAGTGAGCTGAGATCCGGCCACTGCACTCCAGCCTGGGAGACAGAGCGAGACTCCGTCTCAAAAAAAAAAACAAAGAAATGGCCTTGCCTGAGGTTCCCTCAGATACTTCCAGCCATGGGGGCCAGTGACTATGTATGACTCTAGGGCACTGGGGCCCACAGTTTATAGCAGCAGCCTCTGTGCAACCTAAATATAGATAAATTGGCTGGGTGTTGTGGTTCATGCCTATTAGTAATCCCAGCACTTTGGGAGGCCGAGGTACGAGGACTGCTTCAGCCCAGGAGTTCAAGAGCAACATAGCAAGACCCCATTTCTACAAAAAAATAAAAATTAGGCATGGTGGTGCATGCCTATAGTCCTAGCCACTTGGGAGGCTAAGGAGGGAGGACCGCTTGAGCCTGGTAACTGGAGGCTGCAGTGAGCTATGACTACACCACTGCACTCCAACCTGGGTGACAGAGGAAGACCCTGAGTTGGGAAAAAAAAAAAAACAAAAAACAACGGAAAGAAATACAGATAACCCACCCCCACTGATACTGGACCCCACAACATGTGGTTCAACTGGACAAATTCTGCACATTCATCTCTCCTGCTGGGGCCCAAAGGCTCCCTGCGCCCCTGGCAGGTGAGTTAAAGGCAGCAGCAGCCTGACAGCCCTCAGCGCCCAGGGCTCAGCTCTGCCCGGGGATGCCCCGGCCCTTACCAGCTTGGCCTTTCTCAGGTGGTCGCCTCTCCTCTCCTGCTTCTTGAAGGATTCATACGAAACGGGATCTATGCCCCACAAACATTCCGTCCATTTTCCATAGATCACAAAGAGCTTCTTTTTGCTGTAATTAAATGGGATTTTTAAAGCCAAGTTTTAGTCATTACAAACCATTTGTCTAAACACGTAGCACCTTAATTTTGACCCTGGAATAAATCCCCCTCAGGCAAGCTTTCTTACGCATTTTGGGACATCTCTGGACATAAATGCAAAGATGAAAATTTGCATTCTGGGACCATTCCGAGCCCTGATACACACCATGGAAAGGAAAGTGAAGGGCCAGAAACCCAAAGGACAGCCGGCCCTCGGGGCTGCAGGAGATGGGAAGGGGCAAAAAAAGAGCGAGTGTTTTAAAATGTAAAGCTGCAGGCACCCACTGACCATTTTCAACATGCTGAACGTGCTGTGTGTGTCCTTCAGCCCTTTTCTATCCATCGGTGCAGTCAATGTTGCTTGATCTTTGGTTCCCCACCTGCCTGTTTTCATCAATAACAACCCAGAGACCTTTGCAGAGTGGCCACTAGAGCTCTCGATTCCAAAAGGGATGACGCCAAATAGTGCCAGGCTCCATTTTCTTTCTCTTTTCGCCTCTTGCTGGGAAGAGTCAACCGTGACCACAGACCCCCTGGAAGTGCAGCTCTGACAGGCTCAGGACCCAGGACGGGAGGGTGTCTCTCTGCCCTTGCAGAGTCGGCACACAGACACGGGGAACTGGGCCAGGCCTCACCTAGCAGACAACCTGGGGACAACTCTCTGTCTCCAAGGACAGAGCACCCTTAAATTTAGGATGGAAAACCGGAAAACCGAAACACACTTTACATGCACTCACTGAGGGTCAGCGAGTCTGGCCTCAGGGCCCCCACCCAGTTCTGGAAAAACACGCTCTACATGCACTCACTGAGGGTCAGCGAGTATTGGCCTTGGCGCGCCCACCCATTTCTGGAAACAGACAGCCAGCTGCTCCCTGGGCTGAGTTCCAAGGGGCAGAGGCGTCAAGGCACTGTAAGACTGCTGTCCCTTCTAGGTCCACACGTTGATTCTCACATGTTTTATGGGAGAAATGGTCAGTCATAAGCCTGGCCATTTTATTTAAAGGCTGTTGAAACAGGTACATTTCTGGTATATATTAGAGGGTGGACAGAGCAGAAACACCAACTGTCTTATTTTTTTTTGAGACAGCCTCTTGCTCTGCCGCCCAAGCTGGAGTGCACTGGCATGATCTTGGCTCACTGCAACCTCCACCTCCTGGGCTCAAGCAATTCTTGTGCCTCAGCCTCCCGAGTAGCTGGGATTACAGATGTGCACCATCACACCTGGCTAATTTTCGTATTTTTAGTAGAGACGGGTTTTAGTAGAGACGTATTTTTAGTAAAGACAGCCATGCTGGCCAGGCTGGTCTCGAACTCCTGACCTCAGGTGATCTGCCCACCATGGCTTCCCAAAGTGATGGGATTATAGGCGTGAGCCACTGCACCTGGCCCTGTTTTACATTGGGGACTAGTTTCTAACGGGAAATGTCTAAATTTTAGGAACTAGAAGGAACTTCATGACATTCTATGGCTCAAATTCCTTACTGGAAAAAAAAAAATTGAGACCCAGATTACAAAGTAATTAACCCAAATGGAGAGAAAAAAAACTGAAAAATTGGCCGGGCGCGGTGGCTCAAGCCTGTAATCCCAGCACTTTGGGAGGCCGAGATGGGCGGATCACGAGGTCAGGAGATCGCGACCATACCGGCTAACACGGTGAAACCCCGTCTCTACTAAAAAATTACAAAAAACTAGCTGGGCGAGGTGGCGGGCGCCTGTAGTCCCAGCTACTCAGGAGGCTGAGGCCGGAGAATGGCGTGAACCCGGGAGGCAGAGCTTGCAGTGAGCTGAGATCCAGCCACTGCACTCCAGCCTGGGCAACAGAGCGAGACTCTGTCTCAAAAAAAAAAACTGAAAAATTTGCTAAACCAGTACTGACCATTTCTCTGCTCATAAAAACTTGTGAAAGTCCCTGATTCAGACTGGAGTGAACCGGTCACATGACACGGACACCCCACCAGCTAACACATTTGAGTCTCGCCTGACAGTGTGCATGGGGTGCCCTGCCGGGGGAGGGAAAGCGCAAGGCCACACTTCCCACCTCAGCTCTGCCGCAAAACGCAGTCTCGTCTCATCTCCCAGTGAAAACGGCTGACTTCTCGAGACAATGCTATCAAAAGAAGATGGCCCCACTAACAAGCCACCTAGAAACTACATTCAAAAATACCCTTCATTTCCTTGTATGCTCAATAACAAAATGTCTTTCCAAAACAAAAAGGAGTCATACTTCTGGACCATGAACAGATGGCATGGTGTACCCGCGTCTCGTGCACGTCGGCACATGCAGGCCCAGGAGCACCTGAGCCCTCTAACGTGGACACACAGGCTGCAGTGCTGCCCCATGAACCACCTGGCAAGGACCTACTTTTTGTCTTGAATGTGTCCTTCCACCTTGTGAAGTTCTTTTCCGAATAATCCACACGGTTTAAAGTGAAGCACACACTTATGTCCAGTTCTGTGGGAAAAACAAACACAGGTTTCTGCTGCAAGACAGCAAACAGGCAGAAAGGGCAACTCTGTAACGGGAGAAGCACGATGGAGGACCCTGGAGCAGGCGGGGACTGACTGCAAATGGGTGCGGTGGGCCTTTGGGGTGATGGCAGTGTTTGAAACTGGAAATGGGCCGGGCGCGGTGGCTCAAGCCTGTAATCCCAGCACTTTGGGAGGCCGAGACGGGTGGATCACGAGGTCAGGAGATCGAGACCATCCTGGCTAACACGGTGAAACCCCGTCTCCACTAAAAAATACAAAAAACTAGCCGGGCGCGGTGGCGGGCGCCTGTAGTCCCAGCCACTCGGGAGGCTGAGGCGGGAGAATGGCGTGAACCTGGGAGGCGGAGCTTGCAGTGAGCTGAGATCTGGCCACTGCACTCCAGCCTGGGCGACAGAGCAAGACTCCGTCTCAAAAAAAAAAAAAAAAAAAAAAAGAAACTGGAAATGTTGGAAATTGGAGCGATGGAAGTGTTTGAAACGGGCTGTGGGGATAGCTCCATGATTCGGTCAATTTATTAAAAATCACTTAAGTGTCCACTCAGAACAGGTGAATCGTATGATGCATCAATTATACCTCACTAAAGTGGTGAAAAGGCAAAGCCCACCAGTCATAAGCTTCCAGGAACAGGGCATTCGAACCTGTACAGTGGCCAATGGCTGTGGACGGCCACCGTGCTGCACCTGGCAATGACACAGCTCTTCGGCATAGCTCAAAGCCTTCAAGTAACAACCGTGACTACAAATGAGGCCGTGAACGAGGAGCACCCATGGCCAACACCGGTCAGAGTCAAGTCCAGGCAGCTGCTATGCCTGGGCTGGCGGGGACACGGCAGCAGCTCATTGAGGCTGAGCTAAAGCCCACCAGGAGCCGGACGCTCACGCTCCCTGGCTCACCATCCCCACCCGGAGCCTCGCACTCTCACCCAACAGTGGGGTGCTGTCACCTGTGGTTTAAAATCTCCACTGTCCCATACTGCTCTATCCACAGCTTCCCGATGATGACGTTGTGGACACAGCAGGTGGGGTTGGTCCAGGTGTAGGCTTCGTTATGTCTGTGAAGACACCAGAAAACAAGCGGTCAGAGCGCAGAAAAGGCAAGACACGACGTGACCTAAGACACAACCACCAGGCAGTGCTGGGTCACAGCAGCTGGCGCCCGCAGGACAGCAGCATGCTGCTTTGAAGCCCCTGCGACAGAGGCCGTGTATTTAGCATGCGTTTGAAATGTACTTCTTCTTTCCTTTGTAGCATCTACAAAGCTTTCTACTTAAATGTCAAGACATGTTAATAAGCAATCAAAGAAGACTGAACAAAGAGAAATGGCTTTCCTGTGAAGTCGTCAAAAGAAAAGCGACCTCCCCAAACACACATGGCAGTAATGCAGGGTCCTGGGCATGCGGCCCTGGCTATCTGAGGAGCCGGCACGTGGCTGTGGAGGGGTGCAGGGTTTTCACCGCACTCCACATACTTGTTTCTTTTATTCCTCATCCTTCCAAATGGCCCCGCCCAAGAAGAAAACACCCCACAAATGTGAGGCAGCAGATCAGCAGCCCCATGTTCTAAGGGGCTATGTGGAGCAGTCACAGTGAAGGCAGAAATCCACTCAGAGCAGGGTAGTGTGTGACACGTGTGGAATTCTCTGAACTTCCTGGGGGTGGAACCCAAATGCGTTCATCAGCAAGGTGTGCAACTTTATCAGCAAGGTGTGCAACTTTATCAGCAAGGTGTGCAACTTTCCATTTCTGCACGCCTCTTCCTAAGAAAGCAAGGCCACTGCACAACAGGCACAAGGCTGCACCAGCCCCGGGACACACTCTCAGGTGCTTCTCCAGGTCCTTGTGGAACCTTCTAGCCACCATCCAGGCAGGGCCAATGTGAAGCAAAACCCACATCAAATGCTTCATCAGGCAAGGTGTCGTTTATTACTTATTTCTGTATGTATTGTTAGGACCTGGTGCCTACAACAAGACCATAGGCAGTGGCTTGGCAAGACTCGCATCTCCGGACTGGTGGCCCAGGAGGACACCAGCATCCGGTCTGTGTCTGCCAGGTCTTAGGGGCCGGCGTTTGTTGGAGACTTGTGTTTTGCTCTGAGGTGTCTTTGGTGGACACTGGCTTGGGAAGCATTCAGGCTGAGAGTGAAGAGCGGCAGTGAGCGGCCTCTCGGAGGGCCCCCTCCAATGCTGTTTCAAATTCCAACCCTACGTCACCCCTGCCACATGAGCACAGGATGGGGGAGTGTGCAAAGGGCCACTTCCCTGGCTTCCTTCTCAGCTCTCTCCCCCGTGGGAGGCAGGACCCTGCAGCAAGCAGCCCTGAAGGGGCCCTGCCAGCAGGCAAGAAGGGGAGCCGGGACACAGGCACCATGGGTAACCCAACCCTCATCCCCACCGCAACCTCACGGTCCCCAGCCCTCAGAAACCCTGTCAGACTGGTGTGGAAGCTGCTACATTTGGGGCTGTTAGGCAGTAAAAGACAAGGAATACAATGAATGATGACTGAAAGGGGTGCGAATTCCAACTGCAGAGGTGAGGGCGCCCCCCAGCAACACGGGACCCTGGTCAGGAAGCTCATCTGAAGACGTTTCTGCTGTGGGGAGGTCACCACGTCAGGAGAAAAATCACAGGGTTTCCTCCGGAAGGAAGGCTTCCCTCCACATCACCAGCACCCATTTCAGTTTCTGCAGGAGGCGGCTCTCGGCAGGACGCACCAATACTCACTTGAGCAGCTCCAGTGTGATGGTGCCTCGGGGCTCCGCCTCCACGCTTTTGCCCCAGAACTTGAGCTTGGGGTAGATGGAACCGTGGAACAGGAAGTCATGGTTGAGGCCTTCCGAGTGGAACGCGCTGATGGGGGGATGGTGACTGACCTGTTCCGATATAAATCTGAATCCTAAATCTTCCCTAGGTCCAAGAAAAGAAAAAGAGAAACAGACACATTAATGGCAGCAAAATAAAAGAAAGGGCAGCTGAGACATCGTGCAGAGCCCCTCACGGGATGCCGGGAAGCAGGGGCCTCCGTGCCACAAGATGTGGCAGAAACACCCAACACCGCCTCTCCGACATCGCACTCGGCCTAACATTGGCCACACACACACACATAAACACAGCTTCCAGAGCACATCTGACCCACCCAGAGAGGGCAATGGTGCAGGAGGGGGCCTCCACCCCAACGCCCCGCTTGCTCTCCATGGGACCACCCGAGCCACAGCGGTGTCTCGCCAGAGGTGCCCAGAGATGTGGATAAGTGACCCTTACAGACCCCTGACTCCAAATCCTCAACCCCAAGGGACCCCCACTGCCTAGGAACTCAGGACACTAAACCCTTTCTGAAGAGGGTGCCCCTTCCTCGCCTTTCTACCAGGCCCCTGAAATTTCCGAGATGGAATGGCTCATACCCCAAAATATTCCTGTCCAGGAAAACAGGATTTTTAGTATACTCTCTTTTTCAATCAAAATGTCAGCTTTTAATTGTTCCGGAACTGTGAATACACCTACAGGTGTAGTCATTAAAAATTAGAAAAGCTAAACCACATAATTACCAACTTAACTGGAATCAGAATTTCCAATCATTACAGAGGAAGGAAAGTTGAAAAATTAGATTTTAAAAGGTTGACTACCAAGGTATGTAATTTGCAAAATGAATACTCGTCTAAGAAAGGAATGTGTATTTTTAGCTGTAACAAGGAGTCTGTAGGGATCCAGGGTATTGGGAAAGGACTTGGTTCACGTCCATGGCCCCTAACCTGACAGACTGCCAAGGTCTCACAGACGCACAGCACATGGCAGACACTGGCAAAGACGATCTGGAAGTGAATGCGTGACAGACGACGTGTATCGGCATGAAGAAGGTGCGTAGCTTGCTTCCGGCTGTGCAGCAAGAGCTCCGGCCCCGGGTGCAGCCCCTGGGGAAGGCTGCTGGTGGCACGCCCCGCTCCACCCAGCCCAGGCAGCTTGCATTCCTTTCACTCACAAGGCTTCTTCTCTATCATCTAGAACTTCTTTCCTATTCTGATTTATCTTTTTCTTTTTTTTGAGATGGAATCTCAAAATCTCTGCCGCCCAGGCTGGAGTGCAGTGGCGCAATCTCGACTCACGGCAACCTCTGCCCCCAGGTTCAAGCGATTCTCCAGCCTCAGCCTCCTGAGTAGATGGGACAGGTGCACGCCACCATGCCCGGCTAATTTTTTGTATTTTTTAGTAGAGACAAGGTTTCACCATGTTGGCCAGGCTAGTCTCGAACTCCTAACCTCAGGCGATCTGCCCACCTCAGCCTCTCAAAGTGCTGGGATTACAGGCGTGAGCCACCGCGCCCAGCCTGATTTATCTTCTTCAAGACATTTTAATCATTTTCTAAGAGCCAATCTCGTGAATGCCTCCGACGGTGGCACAGCACGCTGACCAGAGGACGGGAAGGCTGGCAGCAGCAACAGGCTCAAGAGAAATATGGAGAAAAGGAAGCACACTCTGCATGAATTCAGAACAGAAGACTCCCGCACAAGTGATTCTCATGGCCAGTCTTTCCCTTGTCCAGGCCTCAGCCTCCCCTTTCCCAGAAGCAGAAGCAGGGCTGCTCCCTACAGCGTGTGCCAAGACCCACAGTCGCCTGCTGGACCCTGCTGTCACCACGCCACACTCTGTCCAAACTATCCTGCTTGCTCAAAGGCAATGACATCTAGAGAACAGGTGCTCGGCTGCCCAGCGCCAGCCAACTTCTAAATCAGACGAAAAACACAAAGTTGGCATTCACGCATGGGCAGCGTGTGGGTAAGGACCAGCAGCTGACCCAGCCAGGATGAGCCAGAAACACTAGAATTTGAAGCTGTGACATTTATGTTGCTTCTCCAAACTGCATAGTGATTTATATACAGAAGTACAGGAAAGCCTGTATTACTAACAACAGCTCCTCCCCAAATGGTCTGACAGCCAGTGCTGACACTCACACTTTCTAGGACAAACATGGGCACACACTTTTAAACTTTTTTTTTTTTTTTTTGAGACAGAGTCTCGCTCTGATTGCCCAAGGCGTGAGTCTCTCTGAGTGTGTGGCCGAGATCTCAGACTCACTGCAAGCGTCCACCGCCTCCCGGGTTTACGCCATTCTCTGCCTCAGCCTTCCTGAGTAGCGGATACAGTGCGTTGCCATCTCACCCAGCTAGAATTTTGTAATTTTTTTAGTAGGACGGGTTTCCACCAGGTTAGCCAAGGATTGTCTCGATCTCACTGACCTCGTGATCCACCCGTCTCGGGCCTCCAAAGTGCTTGGGATTACAGGCTTGAGCGGCAGGCCGCGCCTGGCACGAGCTTTTTGAAGAGCTGCTGTCAGCCGGACACGCAGAAGAAAGCCCATTTGAGAGAGGCAAAAGCAGGGAAGTCCGGCAGACAGCCGAGACTTGCGTCACTATTGATAAAAATCTCAAACCATGCCGGCGTGGTGGGCTCACGCCGTGTTAATCCTCCAGCACTGGGTGCGGGTGGTGAGGCGGCAAGGTGGGGGCGGAGGTCGACCCGAGGTTGGGGTCGAGAGCGAGTAGGTGCGGGCACGCGTGGGGCCGAAGGGGCAGAAGGTGAGAACGCCGTGGTCCCTAGCTGAAAACGCAAGAAAATTAGTCGGGGCATGTTGGGCATGCGCCTGAAGTTCCCAAATACTCGGGAAGGTGAGGCGGAGAAGCAGGGAGAATTGCTTAAACGCGCAGGCAGGCGGTTGCGAGCGAAGCGGAGATCGAGTGCCGAGCTGCGGTGTCCGAGCGCTGGAAGCGCGAGAATGAGCTGCGCCGTCCTGCGCGAGAGAGAGAAGGAAGAGAGAGAAGAGAAGAGAGAAGAGAGAGTTTGCGCGGAAGTGGTATGTTTTAACTGTCGTGTAGATTTAGTGTGTGTGTGGTTTATATAGCAGGGAGTGAGAAGAAGAGGGGGGGGTGTGCGCGGGAGGTGAGGGCGGAGTGTTGAGGCCGTGAGGAGTGTTCAAGAGGAGGAGCGTGGCGGCTGTGCGTGTGTGAGAGCCGAAGGAGGTGGTGGAAGTGGAGCGGCACACATTATTATGAAAGGAAAGAAAGAAAAAATGCTGCAAATGAAACTATCTGACTTGGGTCTGGGCCGCAGGAGGCTCACACCTGTAATCCTAGCATTTGGGAGCATGAGTAGGGCAGATCACTTGAGCTCACGGAGGTTCAAGACTAGCCTGGGCAATAGCAAAACGACTATCTCTATGAAAATACCAAAATTGCGGGCGTCGGTGGCCGCCTGTGTAATCCCAGCACTTTGGGAGGCCGAGAGAGGGGATCACGAGAGGTCAGGAGATCGGAGACGCATTCTGGCTAAGCGCGGGTGAACCCATCTCTACTAAAAAAGTACAAAAAGACTAGCCTGGGCGAGGGGGCGGGGGACCTGTGAGTCCCAGTGCTTGGTGAGGGCTGAGGCAGCGGGAGAACGCGTGAGGACCGGGGGCGAGGAGCTTGCAGTGGAGCTGAGATACCGCACTGCATCAGGCCTGGGTGACGCAGGAGCGAAGACTGCCGTGTCGTCGTGCGCGGAAAGGGAGAAAAAAAAGAAAATACAAAATTAGCTGGGGCATGGTGGCGCGGATGGGGGCCGTGGTGAGTTGCGGTGGTTGTGGAGGCGGGTGAGGTGGGCAGGATAACGTTGTAGCCCCAGGAGGTTGAGCTACGCAGTGAGCCGTGAACATGTCACTGCACTTACAGCCTGGGAGACAGAGCAGACCCCATCTCAAAAAAAACAAGGGAGTACGAAACTGACATGTTGAAGTGCTGCACATGAAAAATGTGTCTTAGAATCCATGAAACACTGTAATTTAGAAAAAGTTTTTAATACACAGGAAAATTAGTGACATACTGTTAAATAAAAAGGGATACCAATTTAACTTCAATTTTGAAACAGCACACAAAGAAAGTCTAACAAAGGGTGCTGACAGCTATCTTTATTTTGTTTAGGGGAGAGCGAGGGGGGTTCTGGCGGTCGTGTTGAGCAGCTTAGAGTGCAGTGCACGCGATCACTGT